CTTTTTTTTTTGTTTTTGTTTTATGAGAAATTGGTAAACTATCTGTGTTGTCTAAAACAGTAAATATTTTGAAAAAAAAAATTCTTGTTTAGTTTTGTTATACGTTACTAAAAATTTCCAACTTTGCATCTGCCAATCGAATATTTTATTATCAAAAACTGAAGAAAAAAAAAGGCGTTTCTTCTAATTTTTTCACGTAAATCAAAAATCAATTTGTCAAGAAAAAAAATTTTGATTTGTTTCCAAAACAAAAAAAAATAAAATGTGCAACAGTGGAAAAAAAAGAGGTCACAGTTAAACCTCTCAAAAAGAACAGAAAACTCCTAAAAGATTTTGGTGCTTCTTATGACGTTTCTCAGGAAGAAAAAAAAAAAATTGGGAAAGTTGTCTCCAATACCCTCTTTTTCTCCCCAATATTTTTGTGGAAAAAAATTATTAAGATATTTAAATATCTTTTTTTAGAAGTCTTTCATTTGTTTTTTTTTCACTGCTTTTTTTTATACTGTCTTTCATAAATAGCACTAATTGAGTAGGTAATTTGCACAAAAACTGTATATGTCATATCAAAACGGGCAGCTATTATTTTCAGAAAAAAAAAAAAAAAAACCAAAAAAATTTTGGCGAATAAAAAAGGCATCTTCTTTTTTTTTTTTTCGCTGTATTCAAAATAATTTTTTTTTACCTTACTGACTTCTGATGGCAGAAAATAAATCGGGCAGAAATTTTTTTAAGAATCGCAAACAAAAGAAGCAAAAAAAAAAAGAGGATTCTAATTATAATGTAACTGAATAGTCGTCGTGACCAATCAAATTGTATAATATATGAAACAAAGTATTGTTTTGCGAGGGATTTGAAAGACAGTTAAAACTACCAAAGTTTCTTAGAACATTTGATGACTAAATGGCCAAAAAAAAAACTGAAGATTAAAATTTTATAGTAATTTATGCATATGATAAGATGAGGATTACAAAATTTAGTAGAAATTCTTTATCAGTGTAACGTTACAATCTAAATTAGTCATTCTTACTGTTGTTTTTAAGCCTAGCATTTCTGACTCTTCAAATAGCTCTTCGCCGGAAATTCTGTTTGATATAAAAGCAAAAAAAAGTTCTATTATTTGCTGTTCAATTTGAATTTAATTTTAAAGTTTCTTTTCTTTGGTTCAGTTTTGAAGGCATTATTGTTTACCAAATTAATCTTGGTCATCAGTTAATAGTCTCCTACAGAGAATTACTTTATCAATCTAATTTTTAACATTTGTTTATGTTTATAAAACTATTAGATTTCAACAGTTATGAAAGATTATAAAACTATTAGATTTCAGCAGTTATGAAGGAAAATAAAAATTTTTTAATTAACAATTTGACATGTTAAAAGGAACCATTGGTGGTTTTTTCTTTATATTTTTACATTATAAAAGGCTGTAAATGAGTATTTTTCAATTCCTGACGACGAATTATTAGGTGTTTTTAAAGTTCTGTTCATAGGATGACTATAATCAGTCTAGAGAAGTTGAAGGAACTCTCGACCACACCCATCGACGACAGAGCAAAACTTTTGGTTTTTTTGTTTAGATAACATCGTATCGTGCCAAAGATTCTAAAAGTTGTTTATTCTTAAAATGTTGTTACAAGTTTTGTAAGTTGTAATTGTCGCAGAAATCAAACTGTTTTCTTGCGTATACATTGAAATAACAGCGACCATGGGGGGTAGTTTATATGTTATCAAAGAGTGAAAATTCATGAAATTCTGTTCCAATTTGCCACCTTATTACCAATAAGCAGAAACAGTAACCTTTAAAGGCAATAAAGATCAAACAATTTTAGAAAGATTAAAGTAGTCGTGTTGATAGATAGTCACAGAATTATAGAATCAAAAATCAAAGAAAAAAAAAGTTTTTTCTTTTTACTTTTACTTTTTTATTACAGCTTTAAAAAAAGTTTTTGATAGATGCAATAGAAGAATATTATGACCTGTTTATGGCCTTCTTTTTTTTTTGTTTTTTTTTCGTTTCTGACTACTTTTTATGACTCAAAAAAGTGTAGCTTATTTAAAAACAGAAAAAAAAATTTTTTCTCTTATTTTTATTTTATACTTATTTTTACTTTTTCTTTTGTTTATTTTCTTCTTTCCAGTTTTGTTCATTGTGCGCGAGGAATAAAAAAAACTGAAAATATAGTTGTCGCTTAAATAACTAAAAACATTTTTTTTTAAATGTTCAATTGTTAAAATTGATAGTGTTTTTTTTTTTGGTTTCTACTGTATCATAGGTTATAGTGCTGCGGAAGAGATCATTTATGCTTCTTATAATTTTCATCGATAAACCAAAAAAATGTAAAGTTCACTTGCTTTGCTGTTATCCTGTTTCTTTTTTTTTCTTTTTCTCAAGCTTTATAAGTAGCAACACTTCAGACAGAAGATTTTAAACAATTTTGGACAAGTTCTTCATGCAAAAAGTCAAAGTTTTAGTATTAGGAATGAAAATTTTATTTTCTCACTAAACTAACCATACCGCGAAAATGCTAAAAAAGTACCGCTAACAACTGATAGTTGAGGGACAGTGATTGAGACTAAATTGTTCTTAATTTTTTTCCTTATAACTTTCCTTAATTTTTTTTCTCAATGTTAATACTAACCAAGATTTTTAAGACATTTTTTTGTCTTGATGAGTATTTTACTTAACAATAGCAAATAAGTAAAAATTAAAATTTTTTTAGGCCCACCACCTCCACCATACGGATCGCTAACAAATACAGAAGATGGTGCATCGTACAGTGAATGCTCGACGTCAACACTAAATGGCAAACGACGTTCTTCACGGTCAACAGATGGTGACAAAAATGATTCAAATGTTAATCCTTATTCGCGGTTACCGAAGAAAAACTTTACAAACATTGAATTTGTCGAGAAACAACAAAAATATTGCACTGATTATACATTTCCACCAAAAACTTATCCAGGTTTTTATTCGACAACAAATTCATCGTCACGAACCAGCTCTATAACTGGTCAAAGTTCAGCATCAGAATTTGTTTTGATGGTTGGTATTTTTTCTTTTTTTTTTTTTTTTTTTTTTTTTTTTTTT